ACACACACACACACACACACACACACACACACACACACACACACACACACAAACGCTTTAGTGTAATAATGTAAAAATTGAGCACCACTGCATATTTACTGCTGTAGTGAAGTACGTTATATGCCTCAAATTGCATTGTTGGCAGTGGTTCAGGTCTGTTATGCTCTAGGATTATCACACACTAATTACAATTTCTTCAAGTAGTAGTAAGCTTTTTATCACAGCAGCTTTTTTGACAAGTCGTAGTAGGAAAAGCACAGGTGTTACTGACATGTGTCCCAGTGAGACGTGACAGTGTAACAGTGAGCCAGCATGACAAACACCAAGACCCTGAAACTGAAGCTGCTCAATGGAATTCAGCCGTATTTCATTTTATTGTTTACACATGTGCTTTTCGACAAATTTTAGCCTCAATCAGAGTTGAGGAGTGGGCTGCAGAGGTCAGATGAGGTCACTTCTTTCCAACTTCATCCAGGGATATCTATTTAATGAGATTGTGTATCGATAGCCAATGGATTAGTTGATGTTGTCCTCCAAAACCAAGAAACTGACTTGATGTAGTTCCCCTTTTCAGATTTCTAATTCAAAGCCTCAGCTTGTTGAGTTGAGTTGATTTTATTCATTACAAAACACCTTCAGTGGCACTGTTGTGTAAATATAGGTGGTTAAGTGCAGTAGTGGTTCCCGTGATGGTTCCCATGATTGCTCTTTTGAGGGGAGATCAGAGCAACAGGAGAAGAGGGAGGCATTGTGTGGTATCACTATTTATAACAGACTGAAACACAAATGTAGTCACACGTTCATTTTTCAAAAGGAGCAGGGATGAATTGCAATCTCTGATGCAGGCGTTATTGGTCTTAATGCTTTAAGAATTGGAAAATTGATTTGTCAAACAAAATTTAAAACAGTTTTGATATTTGTTTAGATTACAACCTCTTAAATGTGAGCTTTTGCTGCTTTTCTTTGTTTTAGATTACACATTCAATATAATTGTAATACATTTGAATTGTTTCTCTGAGTCAATGAAAGCTCACACATCCAAACTTGATGAGCTTTAGATGCTGGACAGAAGCAACAAAAACAAGATGACAAGTCTGCATACCAGTTTAAGCTCCCACAAACCTTTTTCAGGTAACATTTTGGGCTAGGTTCAGGGTTAGATTCAGGGTTAGGGTCTGAGGAAGGACCAGAAATGTTCCCTGGGAGGTAATTAGAGCTTCAACTGTAATTGTGGATTATTAATCAGGTAATTAAAAAAACATAAAATATCAACAGATTAGTTGATAATGAAAGTAGTTACTTGCTTGCCATCGTTTATTTGAGATCCAATCTGTGTTTTTTCTTTCTGGTTTTCTTTCTCCATGTGGTTGCGAACCCACAAACCTTTTGTCAGTCTGGCTTTTTAATCACTTGAGTCTTCTGGTAGTGGACTCTTTGTTTGAATACTTAGTTTGTTGAATTCTGTTCAGTCAATGCATATTATTTTGAGCCTGCGGGCATATTTTGAACTTCCTATGAGCTTCTTTCCCTGCATTTTTTCTGAATACTATCTCTCGTCTTACCATAAAGTGTTGCTTCCCTTCTCTAATGAGAACTTGTAAGCAGAGGGAAAGGCAATCTCTGTCCGTGACCACGTCAGTCATCGTATATCAGCTGTTCCTGTCATCTACGTCTTGGCTGTCTGTCACACACTGTGAGCAGCCTCGACATGAAATGTGGATAAGTCTGACGTCGGTCAGGGGAAGTGGGGGGATCTATGACCCTGTTCACAGTAACTATACACCAATAGGACTTTGCTGTACTCATGTCTCATGTTCTGAGTCTAAGGAGCTTAGTGGGAAGGAAAGAAATACTAAGAGAAAGAAAAAGGATGATGGGAAGAAACAAAAGTTATAAGTAGTAAACAAACTTCTATATCTGATTCAAAGGTGAAGACAAAAAAAATAACACAGACCACAGGAGTTTTTGTTTGGAATTCAATCTTTGAGACAGCAGTTCTTTCTTTCTCCCTCATTTGCAGTCAGAAATACAGTATCTGTTTTCATTTCAGAGTTTGGCTGCTTCCCTTTTACCCCCAATGCTGAGGAGGAAAAAAGAGGGCAGGCAGGAGAAAGAGGAGAGGTGTCACTGCGTTTGTTTGTTCTCCATAGGGGCAGTCTGTGGTTTAGTTTTCTCATGCGTGCTAGGTTAGTGTCCTGCCCCCAAACTCAGTGTGTCTGTCCACAGTCAGACAGGTTTGTTGAAGAGTTTATTTCGAGCCTTAGAGGGATACAGAGATACCAGTGAAGTTTTAAAGCGATTTTCCTTAAAAGGAACTGTGAATCAACCTCTTAAGTGGTAGATTCACAGTGGACACGCACTGTAAACTTTTACGGCTACAGATGCAGTGAACCTGGAATTTGGGGAAACAGAAGCTTTGGTGAACTTTGAAACCTTTGTTATGAAATGGAGTACCGCTACACCAGGAGATACGGTCAATCTTTGGTCTCCCCAGACCCACAAGGTAGGTCTGGGTCCAGAATGAGCAAAAATACTTAATACTTTAATAATTTTCTAAAACTAATACAGATGTACCTATTTTTTTGTACATATTTTAGGAGTGCCAGAGTAAGCTAAAACTAGAAATAAAAGAAGGAGAAAACAAAAGATTCAAAGGAAACCTGTGTGTTACAAACATCTAAAATGTGTCACTTTGGTTGGATTAGGATGGAAAGTGAGTGTATGTGCAGTACTTTTAGTTATCATCCGTATCTGATTAATTACTCGAATCTCCAGAAAAAGACTTAAATATACGAAATAAAATTAATCTGCAGGAAATTGAGCAGATCACAATTAGCTAGCATTTTCGAATGAATCATAAACTTTAGAAGACACGTTTTTACAAGTGAAAGACAGTTAGTTAAATTACAATTGCAAAATAAATAAGTTAAAGATCTAGCTAATTATTTTTAGGTTTGATTATTATGAATCTATGTATAACCCTTGCCGGTTGAGTCTTTGAGGATTAGTGTTGAAATGCCACTTTGTTTTGAAGAGCTTTAAAAAGTCTGGCATGACAGAAATTTTAAGAGGAGACCGCTCCCCTGGGCACCAAAGTATGTGCATTTACATGCTCGGATATGCACTGCAAGTGTGGAGGGATAGTGTGTGTATATGTCAGTTGTGCCTGCTTTTTAATACCCAATCATGAAAGCTGCATGCTTCATCTCCATTATTCCCCTGCTGTTGTGATGCCTTTCTTTTTAAGGAGAGCGTGCAGCATAAAGCCCATGAACCCTCATCACCAAGTGATATAGTCTTCCGGATAGGAGACTTTTGATATGAACTGACCACATTTCAGTCATAATCTGCTGCCGCACAAGAAATCTGACAGCCCTCTTAATTATTGTTATTTTTTATTTTTTTAATCAGGCATTGAGACATTGAGATCAAGATCTCTTTTCCAAGAGAGGCCTGAGAATAAGACCACTGTCCTGGGTCACTTGACGTTAGTATAAACTTTAATATGAAAGCCTTTTATTATTTTATGTTTCTAATAATAGTTCTCAATAATCCTTAATAATCTTTGTTGTTAATTTCTAAAAGGTTAAATGACATCAGTCTCTGTCCTCCTCCTCCTCCTGTGTTTGAGATTGGAGAGTTTGCCTTTGTCTCAGGACTCAGCGTGGCCTCTTCAAAGAGGTCTGGAATCTCTCAGCTCTTAAATTACAGGGCGAGCATGTGGCCGAAAGAGGTGAGGAGGTGAAGAGAGGAGAAAGAAAAGAAAGCTAAGGTTTCTAAGAGAACCTTTTGACCTACCTCATGCCTTGTTTTCTAAGAGGAGAATGTCCAAGCTTGTGTGCAGCAGTAAATATTTATCTATCGCTGCTTTAAAGATTCGTTTTCTATTGTGAAATACAGCAGAACCTTTCTAACGTCCAGTGACCCAGGACAAAGGTCTTGACACATTCCAAAAGAATCCTCTTTGACATTATGATTTGGTCCTCTATACATATTGGACCACATATTTTACATTGAATAACAGCTCTGTCCTTTCTTGTGTGAGCCTCTCAGCTGTGTTGCACAATTTCAATGCTGATTATCTTAATATTTCTGATAATTTCATGTTACAGAGAAGAGCGGAAAAGAGGTGATGTCCAAAGGCTCCAGCGGCATGGAGGTCATCCTGTCTTCACTGGAGGTCAGCTCACTCATCAACACAACTTGACATGGCAGCTCTTAAAACAACAAAACTATGTCTGACCTGGCGTCCATGAACCATGTCTTAGGATTTTGAATATACTTTGAAAAACATTTGTTTATTTGTTAAATATATTTTATTGTCCAATAGCAATTGCAAAACATAAAACCATCAGGTTTTGATAAGCATTTTAAAATGGCGCCTCTTTTCTTTGCAAAGGTTTTTAATTATCTGAGTGTATCAATGGTGTACTTCATCGACGCCATCTTTAAAGTAGTGGAGGTTGTCAACCTCCGACATTGCCAGCTGCAGGAAACTCTGCAACCAGTGACACATTAATCAGTGTGTTTCCTTGTCTTTAGAGGCAAAAAGAAGTTAAATTCTGCAAATGACTCTGTACGTTTTAACAAGTTTACTGCTTGTAACTTTGACAGAACTCCAGAGATGTCCAGACCACACTGAACATCCTGTACATTCTCAGTGAGCTACTGACTGTGGGTGAGTTTTGATGAGCTGATTTACTTGCTTTCTTTTATATTTATTTCAGAGCACACACATATGTAGTAAAAATATTCTAAAAATATACATTTTCCAATAATAAATGGTGAATAGATGATCATGATCATGATCGTACATTTGGCTGGTTAGTTAATCAAGTCTACTGGCCAAGTGCTTCCATTTAGAATGAGGTTTCATCACATTTTATGTTTTATTGGTTGTTTTTCATTGTAGGCCGAGCTCGCAGGGTGGGAGTGTTTGTGTCTAAAGGAGGAACAGGAATATTGTTCCAGATTCTGATCACTGCCAGTAAAGAGTTGCCTCCCAGTGAGGAACTCATGCTGCAGCTTCACTCACTGCTGGCCAAGGTCGGCCCGAAAGGTAAGCTTTATGTTACCTCTTAACACAGAGCCCACCAACATACACACTAATGTTTGTTTTTGTTGAGTTTGCTTTTGTCTTATTTAACCTCATTTGACTTTGTTATATGGCCAAAATATCAAATGCTCTCCGTGCTTTAAGAGGTGCCCGGTGGAGTTTCCTTGGAAACAAGTAAAACATGTGTTTCACTAGTAGATAGTAATTTAACAGTTGTGACCTCACGAAATTACAGAAGGCTCATCTTAGGCACAGATTATAAATATAGGCTCTGTGCATTTCTCTTTTAAGGTTTTCTACAATAATTGCATATTGTTTACATCCTCGCAAACCATCTTCTTCTGTGTGCAACATTTCTCTGCCTAATACCGCCACCTATAGTTGAGTGGAATAGTCTAAAACCGGCTGCAGGATATGAACTGCACCACCCACTTTTTTATTCTGGGGGGTCATCCATAAAAACATTACCCTTTAGTACTACAGGTGGTCAGTAACCACTCGGGGTGCTGAAAGGAGGGAGACAAAACATAGAAAATGGTTATTTTGTGCACACTGACATTGCAGCCTCTGTGTTCAGACAGAAAGTTTGGTGTGAAGGCTCGTTTGACCGGAGCTCTGAACGTCACAGTCAACATAATGAAACAGAACCTACAGAACACCAAACTTCTTCTGCCCTGCCTGCAGGTTCTCAGGGTTTACTCTACCAACTGTGAGTAACTTTAAGCGTTCAAGTAACTTCTGATAAATCCTTTAAATGTACTAGAAATGTTAATTCACTGCTAGTTGTGATCTGATATCTCACATTTTATGTTTTTTATATGTAGCAGTGAATGCTATTTCTTTGGGTAAGAATGGAGTGGTGGAGCTCATGTTCAAGATCATTGCACCGTACAGCAAAAAGAACACCAGCCTGCTCAAGTGAGTTTCTGTCTATGTTAATGAATCAGCATGAATGTTGTGTTTGTTGTGTTATAACAAACCAGTGTGACATCCACAGGCTACATCTCTCTGACATCTTTCAGACAAAGTTTTATAATATCTGTCGTTGATGTTTTTTCAGACCATGTAACCCATGTTTCCCTTGTGTGTAAATCAACAGGGTAGCTCTGGACGCACTGGGAGCACTGCTCAAATCCAGTGAGTAATTTGCTTTGTAGCTTTGACTTTTTTTAATCTTTTGTGTTAAAACAGTGATCTTTAGATGGTGTTTAGCTCCCTGCGGCCGTCTTTCACTTCATCATTCCTTTATTTTTCCACAACTTCTCTAAAGCAAAAACCGCAATTCATCAATGTATTCAAGCTATTTAACTCCCTGTTCCCCCCTTCACTCTACTCCCTTCCTTTTCATTCCTCCCACTCTTCTCTTCAGCCCATCCCACAGTTGTAAGGTGCTATCAATTCTTTCTCCTTGTCTACTTCCACGTCCCTGTGCAGAAACTAATGCTCGCCGTGCAGTGGACGGCAGACACGTGCCTGCCTTGCTTGCTCTGTACCTGGATTGGCATCGCAATGACACTCGGCATCGCCATATGCTGATTCGCAAAGGGTTTCTGGTCTGCCTCAGAAACATCATCAACATCAAGCTCGGCAGGAAGGCGTTCATAGAAGCAGATGGCATGAGGATTCTCTACAACTCATCCACTGTGAGTGAGAGTGTGACACACAAATGGCAAGGAATTAAAGCATGTGACACATAAAGTAAATGCCATTCTCCACTTTCTGTGTGGTTTTTATTTTCTAGGAGTGTCTCCCTGTGCGGACCCTGGATCCTCTGGTTAACACCTCGAGTATCATCATGAGGAAATGTTTTCCGAAGAACCGTCTGCCTCTGCCCACCATCAAATCAGCCTTTAACTACCAGCTGCCACACATACCTGCTGCAGGACCTGTGGCACAGCTGTACAGTCAGCCTGCTGGGGGTAAGTACATACAATCACTCACACACACTCACTCACACTCAAACACACTCACACTCACACACACTCACATATGATCCACCAGAGTGTGCCCTAGCTTGTCACTGTGTATGTATATGCCTAACGTTGATTATTGAAACAGACACACACATTTTGCAGTCATTGCTCCTGGATTCAAGACTTCATATAAACACTCACACACACACACACACACTCACACATAAATAATGCTTACTTCCCTAGATGGAGTAAATAGTTAATGGCAACACTCATGACACTGCTGCACACAATGTGCCTTACAGGAAAAACAAGTCATCAGCTCAACAGCAAGCCCTTACAGAAGGGTAAGACGTACGTAAGATGCAACTTCATCCTCAGATTACATAGACTCACTCACTCCTGCTTTCTCATTCACTTCACGTCATGATCTAACTTCACTCAACTAACACACAACATGTGTTAGTAATAAAGACATAAGAAAGATGCTCAGTGCCCATTGCATAGTGCTTGCTTGCTCAAACGTACTTTCACTGCGCTCAAATAATTTGCTGTCTTCATTGAGTCCACAGGCTTGACTGGTAAGATATTTGAGCCTCTTCCCTCTTTCTTCAAGCTTGTCTAAAAATGATAAAAATGTCTGATTAGAAAATCCTTTTTATATCATAGTTGAATGTGCTTGATGATCTAGGTACCTACCATAGACTGAAAATAAAGATAAACAACACCACTGCTCCCCAAAAGTGAAGCCAAAGCGTTTTGAACAATACATGGTGGCTGGCTGCAATATAGGTCATACATCATGTCTCCTCCATGTTTGTGGATGGGGATATGTAACAAAATTAAATGTTAAAGTGTACATCAAATAATTTTTCTCACAGAAGTTCTGATTGGATATAATTAGTTATTTGATGCTATAAAAACAGGGAGGAATGCCATGATTGACAGCTGAGGCTGACTTACGATGGGTCGAGCTGGTGTATTGGTGGGGGCTTGATACTGCAGCTCCATCGATGCTGTGCAGATTCTGGCTCCTAATGTTCAAGATGGCAGCGCTCATTTCTGGGAGATTTTTGCTCGATTTCTGGATAATATAAGGAAGATGCATCGTCCATCTTTATAAACAGTCTATGGTGTCCACACATTTTTGTCAGTTTCCTTCATTTCCCTTTTACAGTGTCCCAATCTATCAGGAACTCCTTAAAAAAAGATATTTGCCAGAATTTTGAAAATTCTATTTGGCAACAGCAACCTAGTAATGACCTCATCTTCGCACAAAGTCGTGTTAACTCATCTGTATTCCCAACATTGTGTCAGTGATGTCATTAAACCAGCTATGGAGAACAGTGTACGATTGTAAGCTACTGTGATTACACTGACTTCTCAGTGAGAGCAACTCAATGTGTTGGAAGAAATACTCAGATGCTCAGAATTTCTTCTTTATTCACTATCTCCTACTCATCTCTTGATCATGGCTGCTCATATCTTTTTGTCAACATTTTCTCTGTTCCTGTCAAATCAGACTCTGCTAGTCTGGTTTATGTGCCAGCCTTATGCATATTTCTTAAAACAACTAAATTCCCAGTTTGCGTGATGTAAAAGTAAACTATTGAATACATCTGAAGACAGTTACCTAACAGCTTGTGTGTTTGTGTGTTTTGTACCCAGTGGATGATGTAGTGGATGAAAGTGATGATAACGACGAGACGGAGGCCGACACAGAGAACGATAGCGAGAATGAAGAGGATGAGAAGAATCATAGCTCTGCGGTAATACTCACACTCACACTTCATATTTCACATGACAGCATCATCTGTTACACTCACTGTTTAAAATGTGAGTCTCTTTCCTCTGTATGATAGTGGTATTATAGAGACAGCACAGAGTGTTCTTCTGAGTGATTTACGTCATAAACATCTCAATAACATTTTGTCATTGTGATTAAAATTCACAAAGGACTGCGATGTGTAATAATAATTGGCCCCAGTTGGCTCGATGGTGTTAAATTATAAATGGGCCATTCGATTAAAGCTTCAGCTATTTTGTGAATAATTTAGAACTTAATATTACAGCCACACGACTCACTTTAATTATACAATATTGAATCTCCACAGATAGTGTCATTTGAGGACAGAATTTCTCAGATGTGTTTGATTGTTATGTTGACCTGATATTAATAGAGTCTAGTTGCACTCACTTCAATTTCCAGCAGAGGGCAGTCATAGCCCACCAACCACAACACTTTCATATCAAGTCAAACATGTCAACCATGCCTGATATGCATTTCTGATTAAATCAAAACATTACTCTGCATTAACATAGGGTGAGGGGGACTTTGACCTTTCTGGAACATCTCAAGCACTACAGCCCCCCTCCAAAGTAAACACAAACTAGGATGGCACTCAGTAGAGTGCATACTTTTCCCATGGTCCAACAGTCCCCTTATGAAACCACATTTAAATTCACTAGATTCAGATTTTTATTTAGATCTTTACCAAATTGCACACACTTATAAATATCAGTCCCCTTAATATGCCTGATTTTTCTTCAAGACCCGAATTATTCTCTGAGGAATCAATGAAAATATAATGGTAGAGAAATCCAGATATGCACCACAATTTAGTGGGATAATTCCTGTCCAATACTCTATTGTTACTTATGTCCTCCATCTCAAAATCAGAAGAAGACAAGAGCAAAAGTATGAATTAACCTACATACAAGTTTTGATGTTTGTTTAATGCTGTTTGTGTCCTGTCACTCAGAATGATGACATAGAGACAGACCTAAACAAGCTACATCCCAAAAAGAGTCCTAGTCGTCCATTGGAGGAGTTAAGAGTCTATGAGCGATTCTTTCTGGAGCTGTCTGAGGACTTTCAGGTCAGTGTTTTGTGTATATGGTGATAAAACTTAGCAGTAATATAACCAAGAGTATTTCAAGAGGCTTGTCTGTTAATACTATACGATAGTCCTTTGGTCAGTTGGAAGTATTTGACAGTAAGTTGGCACAATAATTTCTTATTTTGACACAGTTTAACATATTATATGTACTAAGACAAATGAATATGGGACATACTGTATATATTATGCAAGATGGCCTCTTCAATATGTCTTTTTCCTACAGGGGTATAACTTTGACTGCTCAAAGAGTGCCTCTTCATCCTCATCATCAGCCTCAAGTCGATCCCCTCGGCCAATCATAGTTCCCACAGCTCAATCCCTGTCACCAAAGCATGTCCCCAAACAGAGTTCCCAGGGGGATTGTAGCTCTACCAAAGGACGACACACTCAGCCGCCCCCCTCCGCTTCCACTCCCTCTCACCCTGCATCACAACCTCCGCTTGAACTGAACACCGTCCACCTCATCAAGGACCAAGACAAAAAAGAAGAGGCCCACATTCCTTCCCCAGATGGACATGCGACTTTGTCCTCCCTCACCAGTCCTCCCTCTCAAGGGCAGAGAATTGAACAGGAACTCGCGCATGTGTTGGAGTGCGTCTCCCTAGAGGAGGAGGGGGCTCTTAATGCAGAAGACGGAATAAATGAAGTCAAGCAAGCAGGATCTCCGGTCAATGCCACCAGACTCATACAGTCTCCTCTGCTGTTGGGTGGTATCGTGACACGTCGTGTTGGAGGAGGCGGTGGCAGTAACTGGGGTTCAGATTGTGGCTCAGAGGGAGCTGATGATGAAGGAGGGGAAGGAGCAGTTCTGGAGGTGCCAGACACAGCGCTGCTCCTCTCACTGCACGACCCTGACCTTTACGTGGAGATGGTTAAGGGAACACACTCTGTACCTCAGTATGCTGAAGTGGCTTATCCAGACTACTTTGGCCACGTAGCCCCAACATTTAGAGAACCCCTCATGGAAAGAGTTTATGGTGTACAGAGGTGAGATATTGCAATCATTTGGCATAAAAACGTGGGTATACATTAGGAACTATGAAATAAAATCAATCAGTATTAAGCTGTAAAAAAGAAAATACCTGTAGTGTGCTGTAATGTTTTGCGTGCCAGATATTTGTATTCAAAATATTTTGAAACATTTCTAAGCCTTTGACTTACACTGGCTCAAACTGAAAGTGGAGCTGCAGACTGCAGTTTTTCAAAGGCAATTTGCTGCCAGGCACAAATTTTGCAGGTATAACTCAGAGGGTAGAGCGTTAATCTAGTTCTTAGAAGGTTTGTGTTTTCGATCCCCAAGTCCTAGCTTCCTCGAGCAAGACACTGAACTTATAATTGAGCTGATGCTGCATCATCAGTGTGGACCCGCAGTCCATTTACCAAGTTCAATCTGGAAAACCTTTAATGCAATCATGTGCTGTAGGTATATTTTTGGAGTGGCCTTGCAGTCTGTGAGCTACACTTTACACATTTAACTTTGTTATGAATCAAAGGTTATGGAGGCAGGGAAAGACATTTCTTATGGCTTATTGCATTTATCCTCTTTTATTAACCATATCCATTGTGTGCATTGAGTTTGTCCGTGGGTCTATCCATGCAGGTCTAAGATATTCCAGGACATTGAGAGGATGATTCATCCTAATGATATCCTGGATAAAGTCGTTTATGACCTGGACATCCTCAGGTGAGTTTCTCCTACTGGGTCTCTAACCTAAATATCACTCAGAGTAAATGGAGCTACAGATTTTGAGAGCTGTGACATTCACATTTCACATTAGCTCAATTTATCATCCACATTCTGAGAAGGGTAATGACTTCTTAAAGAGTGTCATTTGTTCCTCATCATGTTTCAGTTGTCCCGTGATTGAAGACGACGGTGAATCGCTAAAGTTCAACTCTCAGTTTGAGTCTGGCAACCTCAGGAAGGCAGTTCAAGTTAGGAAGTAAGTTTGAATATACATTTCTGTGTATAAGTGTTTTAATTGAATCACCTTTTAAATCACCTTTCATCACAATACATGCATGTAAAGCTATTGTCAGCTTTAACAATATTAAACTTGCAACTTACCTCTTTATTTTCCGAAGTGAGACTGAATATAAAAGAAGTGATGCTTTGGAATTTGTGAATGCTTGATAATGTTTGAGTCGACATCACAGTTTTTGTTGTGGTGTGTTTCCAGATATGAGTATGACCTGGTGCTGAATTCAGACATCAACAGTAATCACTACCACCAGTGGTTCTACTTTGAGGTGAGCGGCATGCGTGTCGGAACTACTTACCGCTTCAACATCATCAACTCTGAGAAGTCAAACAGCCAGTTCAACTATGGTGAGATGCACAACAACACCCACAGCTTTTCATTCTCCATCTGACCAACAGCAGATGTTTATATTGTATGTTAATAAAACTGAATTGTCCTATGACTTCTGACCTACAGCTAAAAAGCCTCAAACTAGCACAATGTGTTATTTGATCATCAGACAGCACACATTGCCTTTCTCTTTATGTTTTTTTATATGTGTAGGCATGCAGGTGCTGATGTACTCTGTCCAAGAGGCGATCAGTGGGAGGCCTCGTTGGGTCAGAACAGGAACAGATATCTGTTACTACAAGTAGGTACAGATACAGTGACGCAAAAGCTGACTTTGTATCAGTGCAGTATTCACAGGAAGCAAAGGTTTCCATGCAGCGTACTAATGGTCCATGCTGCACCTCTTATACAGCAGTGTTTCCTGCAAAAAATTAGTCAGTCAAGGTGGTGAGCAGGGGGGAGGGGCATGGCTCCGGTGCCTGTTGGATCAGGGGGGGAGGGGGCGTGGCACTGTAGTTCCCACAATGATGACAGGCATGCTATCCGGTTGTCGGATTTCGCTTCTTTCCCAATAAAAAAGAAATGTTGGCCTTGCCACGCAGTTACAGCAGATGATAGATGGCTTAACATATTTAACCTACAGATGCCGCTATTCCGCCTCATTGCAATGCGGCCTTATTTTAACCTACTGTCTATGCATGCGGGGATGCGGAATATTTATTTATTTATTTATTTTCGGGGGGACGTAGTCAAGGCGGGGGGCCGTTGTTGTCAAGGCGGGGGGCCGTTGTTGTCAAGGCGGCCGCCTTAACTATAAAGCGCTGCGGGAAACCCTGTACAGTACTGTATTACTTGCCCCATATCTTTTTAATGTAATATAGCTATAACGCTCTTGTGTGGCTTGCTGCATTTACAAAATTATTATGAGGTAATAATAATAATAAAATAATAATAAAAAGAATGCCTGAATATTGTATGTTATAATAATATTGTTATATTGTGCAATATTTACTTATGAAGTGTTTCTCCTTTTCTTCAGGAATCATTTTGCAAGGAGCTCCATCGCAGCTGGCGGTCAGAAAGGAAAGTCCTACTATACATTGACCTTCAGCACAAACTTCAGCCATAAGGATGATGTCTGCTACTTTGCCTATCATTACCCTTACACATACTCCACTCTTAAGGTAGTATTACATAACCACTGTTTGGTAGTTTTAATGTTTCTTCTCCCTGCATAAATGCCAATTCTCATCATACTCTCTGCATAAGAAATATGTTATTATGCCCTGAGACATAATAATAAGTTTTTCATTTGCTCCTACAGTAATTATTTCTCTACTCCCCAGCAGCTAATCCTCTCAAACCTTGAGTCTGCCCATTAATTATGCTGTGTTTTTATTGTTTTATCATTTACAGTGTATGTCCTTCAAATCTGAGTTGTGGTCTCAAACTACTGTAAACATATAATGTTGTATTTTCATGTTGTTATAATTACATTTTGTCTGCGTTTATCTCAAGTGACAATGCAGAACTGCTTACAATACAAGCATTGATAGAGAATCTCAGACTGAATCACTTAATCACAAGTGGCCTGATACACAGCCACTGCAATAATGCAACAATAAAATGCTGAGAACCCAAGAGAGATGGGGGTTTAAATAGAAGTTGAAGATAATACTGTTAGTAAGTGGACTTTGTCATTGTTGTCTTTGTATCCTCAGATGCACCTGTCCAAACTGGAGGCTTTGAGGACCCCAAAGATCTACCTGAGACAGGACGTCCTATGTGAGACCCTGGGGGGAAACGGCTGCCCCCTTCTCACCATCACTGCCATGCCGGAGTCCAACTCCAATGATCACATCTGTCAATTTAGTGAGTAAATCAGTGTCAACCTGTGTAAATGTGTTCACATATCTTATTTTTTCAGCATCAGTCTCATGCTCGACCAGAGCGATCTCAGCAGCAGGATTTTATTGTCTCCTGTCAAAACTGGATCAACAGTGGAACAATCTTATCTATTTTCAAATGTTAATTAAAACCTGGACAATAGTGCAATCTGTCATTAGTTAGTAAAACCTTCTCCAGGTGAAAACAATTCTTCATGTTGTCCCTCGATATTTTTCTAATAGTTTTCTAAGAAATCCACAATTTCTCTACATTTCTCACTAATGCAAGAACATTAGGTGGTTCTGGAGTCTCAGAAAATGCCATTAAGTTCTACATTTAGTCCACCGCTGCTGTTTCTCTGCTCTGAAAAACTTTGAATTAAAGAACCATATTCTGTTTTTCTCATTCCATCATCCTCTGTTTGTGCTGTGCTCTCGCTCTGTCGGCTTCTTTAGGGAATCGTCCATTGATCTTCCTGTCGGCCAGAGTGCACCCTGGAGAGACCAATGCCAGCTGGGTAATGAAGGGCACGCTGGAGTTCCTGATGGGCACCAGCTCGCAGGCAGCCAGCCTGAGGGAGGCCTACATCTTCAAGATAGTCCCCATGCTCAACCCTGATGGAGTTGTAAATGGAAAGTAAGTGAAAAATAGTGTAGGAATGGAAAGATATTAACACTCATTCACAGCTTTCAAATGTACACATTTACACCTGCGGAACACACAAAACCTTGTCATGAAGGATTCTCTATTCTGTTCTAATTCACTCTGTAGCCATCGCTGTTCTCTGAGTGGAGAGGATTTGAATCGCCAGTGGCAGAGCCCCAATCCTGAGCTCCACCCCACCATCTTCCACACTAAGAGCCTGCTGCAGTACCTTGCACACATACAGAGGGCACCACTGGTATGACCTCTAATTAACTGCACTTAAATTACTTTTCTTTTCTCTTTTTTTGCACTTTGCTACATCAATCATTCTGATTTTGCAGGAAGATTTTCTGACTTGTGAATGCCGATGTCATTTCTCCTGTTCTGCTGCACAAAATCAGATGTGAATCAGTAAATCACAACATTATTATAGTTACAATTAGCAGTTGCCTGTGCTGGCCTCTACATTGTGTATCAACAAGTTATGTAAAATGGGATATTCATCCTAATGGGGGATTTATTGACAGTGCAAAGTGTGATGACTAGAAGGAACAAAGAATGGTGACGCTATGAATCTTTGTGTTTAAATAGATCTGAGATTTAGTCAGAGAAACTGTCAATGTCATTTTCATGGCACGTCCTTTATTTACAGCAAACAAAACAGTTTCACAGTTTTATTTTGATAGTATATAAAAGGTGATTGTCATTGAAAAGTGAAGTTTTCTTTATTATTTTATTGAATATATCAGCCACTAAAAAGAAGGCTTATTTGGTTCCTAGTGTCCAAGTGAAAAGTACACAATATGATGTACATACTAAAGTCACTCCTTTCTTTATCTCTTTTGTATGTACTCATGTTTTTGTGTGTTTGTGTATGTGCAGGTGTTCTGTGACTACCACGGTCATTCCAGAAAGAAAAACGTGTTTATGTATGGCTGCAGTGTGAAGGAGACGGTCTGGCAGTCCAATATCAGTGCTTCGTCCAGTGACCTACAGGAGGACCTTGGATACAGGGTGAATACACACACACACACACACACACTCAAAATCTCATTTTTACTTTCTTAGAATTGCCTCCTGTTAATCATTTTCTCTGTTCATTTGAAATCCCTGATCCTTGCTAAGCTTATTGACTTTTCATAGTGTCATCAACATCAGCTCTTACCTGAAAAACATGTTTAAATTTATTTTACTTTGGTGAGTTTAGTGATTCACCTTGGATCTGCATTGAAGAAGAACTTTTTCTTTCATTAGACAAAAGGTCAGGTTCCATGTTTTTGACCTTGTATCCTCTGAATTTGTGAATGCAAAAACTTATATATTAAAAGATATATATTTCACTGAGTAGTGTGCTGATAAAGAAGCCAGTTCGAAAGAGAGGTCAATATTGGATGTACAGCAAACATTCTGGATTGAACCTGTCAATACTGTCTCTTTCCCAAGGAACTGCTCTGTACAGTCTGTGTTGGACTCGGTTATCTGGCCCAACTCTAAAATGTACTTTATCATCTGCCCCCAATGCACCTAACACTTATAAACATTTTCATGTGTGTCTCAGGCTCTTCCTAAGATCCTCTCTCAGATCGCCCCAGCCTTCAGCATGGGGAGCTGCAGTTTTGTTGTGGAGCGCTCTAAAGAGTCGACTGCTCGTGTAGTTGTATGGAGAGAGATAGGAGTACAGCGCAGTTACACCATGGAGAGCACACTCTGTGGTTGTGACCAAGGCAAATACAAGGTAAGGGTGTATTTGCTTAGGCCTTCTCAATGTAATGCAGTTCATTACAGTAAACATGACATGAAATACTACCTGTTGTAGAGCTTTTTTAATTAACTGTAAATTTAAATTGTTTCAAGGAAGTTTATTTTTTTGATATATATGCTAATCAGTAAGCCATGGTATAGAAATAAAGACACATTTGCAGGATCTCTCTGATTATTTTGTATAGATGTATAGATGTCTTTTTATTTTACTTCCACCCCCTGTAAATGAGAGGGAGGTGCCCCAATAGATCTCTAAGTGTCCAGCAGGTGGAGCTGCAGTCTTTTCTCTTTTTTCATCTCTGTTGTTTCCCCTCCTTCCCTTCAGCCTTTTTACCTTTATTTCATCTCTCTGTGGTTTTCCATAAAGCTGATTTGCTTCCAACTGAATTTTCCCAGTTTCTAAAATATCTCACGGAAGTCCTTGGATGCCATTTTGGCTCTGATTAGCACCCCCACTGGTTTTTGTGAGAGTATTTGTCCAGATGTGCAGGAACCAATGTGAACTGTGGCTGCATGTCTCTGTAGCCAGGCCAAGTTTAGATGTTCAAGCTCTGCTCTGGGGAAAAGGGAACATGAAAGTGTTCGAGTTGAGTTGGGGGTTAGCTTGGTGTGTGTGTGTGTGTGTGTGTG